TGGGGCGGGGGCCGGAGCTACAGGAGCTTATGGCGCTGGTGGTCCTTGGCGGCTCGCGGAGGCCATGTTCACATTGTAGGAGCCGGCCAGTGGGCCCATGCTGCAGGCACCGCCGCCGCCGCCCGCCGGGCCGCCGGGACCACCTGGACCACCAGCGCCATAAGCTCCTGTAGCTCCGGCCCCCGCCCCAGCGGCTGAACCCCCGCCACCGTAAGTGTAAGCGCCTCCGACCAAACAGCCAAGGCCGTATTCTCCGTCCTGGAGGCGCGAAGCCGGCCCCATGCAGCCGCTCTGGTCCGGGCTGTTGAGTATCTGATCGATGCCGAAGCTGATGGGCTCTGCGTGGCCCGGGTGGAGATGGTGGGGACCCAGGTGCTCCATGCTGGCCCCGGCCCCACGTGGGGGCCCGGGCGCGGACGCTCGCTGCTCTGGACTACCCGGGCAGCTAACAGAGGCGCCGACACAACCGCGGCTCCAGGCTGCGCTGAGACTTGAAGGCGAAGTGCGCAGAAGGGCCAAAGTAGGGGGGAGGGGAGGGAGAGAGAGGGAGCTGTATTCTTCCCCTCTCCGGCTTCTCCTTCCCTTCTCCGGCTGCTCGCTCGCCGTTGACTCTGGGACATCAATCACCGGGCGAAAAAGCCCTGAGCGAGCGAGCCTTGCTGTTTCGGCCGGGTCTCTCCATTGGCTGTGCGTGGAGAGGAGCCGGGTGAATGACAGCGCGGGGGAGGGGAAGGGAGGGGGAGAAGGAGGCCAGGAGCCCAGACAGATGCCGGAGCCAGAGAGAGAGAGAGAGAGAGAGAGAGAGAGAGAGAGAGAGAGAGAGAGGAGGAACGAGATCAGGGCTCCCAGTAGTTCCAGCGAGGAGAAAAGAGGAGAACCAGAGCGAGAGGCTTAAAATGAGAAAGAAAAGAACACCAAGCAGACATTCCCAGAGACGGACAAACAGACGGACCCAAGGAGAGGGAAATCTGAGCCCTTTCCCGGGTCTGGAAGGAACCCCCACACACACTTTGAACAGGGCCAAAGGAGTCCAGCCCACCACTCCCCTGGGGACAGGTGTCCTGCCCAACTTGAGAATCTCCCCAAGGGCTGAGCTGGGAAACACCTGTCACTCAACCAGGCGATTTACTGCAACTTCAAGTCCAGCTTGTTAGAAAGTAGAAGACTGTCTACTCCCCAGGTATGGAGCCCAGGCCCCGAGGCAGGACGGTGAGTTCAGGCTTGTCCTTTAAAACAGGTCCTATGAGCAGCTGGCTATATATTGTTATAAAAATTAGCAGCTTCTCAGACTCGGCCTCTTTAGAGAATTTAAGGAAAGAGTCAACCCCGAAAAGCAGGCACAAATCAAAGGCTTGGTTTGGGGTTTGTACCAGGGTGCCCATTCCTCAAGGCTCCCCTTTCGTTTTGAATAAACAAATGTGCCAAGAAGCAACTCCTATGGGGTCCGAATGAATGCCACTGGGTTTGTATTGTTTTCCAACCCTCAGAGGCCAGGGCTGGCTTTTGCCAGCTTTGGAACTGCTGTGTGGAGGAGTTATTTCTTTGTTTTTAGAATTATTGGGGAGGGACTTGGGTCTTAAGGCTCTGGGGGCTGGAGCTGGAGGGACTAGGACCAGGGACGGCACCCAGGACAAATGGGGGCCCTTACAAAGTTTTGCCTCGGCTGCCTGACTGAGGAGGAAACTCCCTTCTGTTTCCTCTCCTCCTCCTCTCCAGTAGGGACAGGTCTGTTCCCTCTAGAAGCCTCGTTCTGGGATGGAAAAGCATATGCTGTGTTTCTGATCTATTTCAGGTCCCTTTCCTACTCAGCCTTCTGGGCTGGGGTCTCTAACAAGCAAAATGCGAACGTGTGAGAGCTGCATTTCAGCTCACCAAGTCCCACTGTAATCTATTTGTTTTGGCCACTTCTGTCTGTCACCTTCACTTGAGGAGCAGTTCTCAGAGGCAGGAAATGCCTTATATATTACTTCTGCCCCCCTCCCAGCACAGCCTCGGCAAATAAAATATGCTCATCGTGACTGAATGATAAATGAACAAATATGTGTGCGCTTAAAATGTGCCTGGCACTTTCTAGGCACTGTGGAGAGACAGCAAAGTGTTCCGACCTCAGAGAACTTACATTCTCTACACAGGTCAGATAAACTAAGAAGGATAAGTCAGAAAGTATTCTGGATAACTAGAAACTCAGTGCCATCTCTCGAAGATAAATGCTCTAGCTGACCCTCCAGCCAGGAGGGCAAATGCTCATTTAAGATATGAAGCTGGCAGCTGTTGGTGAACTCCAAACAAAACCAGGAGAACAGAGCTTCACCCTGCTGCCCAGTCTTTGCTCCTCACTCCACCCGTCCAGGTTCTACTCCATACCTTGGCCCATACAGTTCCATAACTTACTTGGGAAGTTGTCTGAACCTGTTCTTCCTTCCTTTTGTTTTGAAAGATCTAGACTAGAAAGAAGCATAATTATTTTCTGAGAAACTACTGTGTCAGATACCACATCACACACTCATTAAAACCCTTAACAGTCCTAAGAAGTAGATGGGAATGGCCCCATATTTATACCTAATAAAGCTGAATGAGTGTCCACAGCAGTACTAGAAAGCACAGACCATTCCATCTGTCCATCAACTGACGAACAAATAAACAGAATGTGATAGGGCCATAAAATGGAACATTATCCCACCATAAAAGGGGAGTGAGTGCTTGCTCATATCATGATGCAGCTGAACCTAGCATGTAATACTAAGTGAAATAGGCTGGGCACACGGGCACACATATTACATAGTGTGTAAAGTGGCCAAGATAGAGCACTCCACAGGACAGAAAGTAGGTTGGTGGTGGTTGCCAGGGCTAGGAGAACTGAGGACAGAGCTTCTTTGGGGAATGCTTAAAACTTTCTGACATTAGACAGTGGTGATGGCTGTAAAACTCATGAGTATTCTAAAAGTCGCTGAATTGTGCATCTTTAAAGTCTGAAAAATATGAAATATGAGTTATATGTCATTTAATTTCTTTAGATTTATTTATTTTATTTTATATATATGAGTGTTTTGCCTGCATGTGTGTATGTGTATCACGTGCACATCTTGTACCAGAAGAGGGTGTGTGATTCCCTGAAGCTGAAGTTATGGGAGTTTGTGAGCTACCATGGGGGTTCTGGGAACTGGATCCTGGTCCTCTGCAAGAGCATCAAATGCTGTCAATCACCAAAGCCCCCTCTATGCCATTTTAAGTAAAAAACAAATTTGTTTAATGTTCCACAGACAGAAGAGGATTGCTCTGGGACGCTAACACCTAAAACTACTTCTGTTTGAGCTTCAAAACTATGGCAGAGGACCCTGTAGCTTCTTTGGGGCTGGAGCCCAGAGGTCTTGCTTCTGCTTTCTGCTAATCTAACCACAGTTCTGCCTGCCACAGTTATAACTGTCCTTCTTAGTCATTTTCAGAGCAACACCTTTTTGTCCCTCTGAGGCCTGTGTAGAAGCCATTTCAATCTCTCTCATACTTGCCCTCCCTCTCCCTCCATTGCTCTGCCTTCCTGGTCCTATTGCCTTCCTCTCCTGCCTCTCCCAACTCCAGACACCTGCTGGCCCCACCTCTTCAGATCTAGCACCAGTTACACTTAACTCCTGTTGGCCCAGGCAAATGTTGGCAGAGGTCACAACAACCCACTAAGACTGTGTAGCTAACAAACGGCAGCAGCCCAGGGGTGCTTGGCTTTCCCTTGCCTCCCCAACTTATTTCTGAGTCAATTTTTATCCCAGTCCAGTCCTGGAGGGCTGGAGTTGTTCTGTAAGTCCTCGGTGCTGGTGTTTGTCCTGGGGTTGCTGGGAAAGACCACCTCAATCCCTGTCTAGGGAGAAGAGACCAGAAGATCTGGATTTGCTGAGCTCTGGTCCCTCTGCTTCTCCTCGCAGCAGAGTTACCTGAGCTCACTGTTCATTTGGTATAGCATCTGTGTTCCTGACGCAGTTTCTCTCACCTTCCAGAGTAGCCCTGCTAGGGAAGAGGAGGGAGGGCGAGGAAGCAGGACCTACAGATCACCTGTGATGTCCTCGACCACAGAAATGATCTTTCCACTAACCCTCCTAACTGTGATGCAATTTTTGTGATGCACCCTTAGCAAACCCAGGCACTGAATGCTGGGAAGAGGCAGCCTAGACAACAATGCTGCTTTCAGAGCCCACTTATCACAAGGTACTTCCTCAATGCTAAATTTGGCTCTTGCCTTGCATCTTGTCTAGGTGAGCTTCAGACCCTTCTCTCTAGTCCTCCTGAGGCCACCTGGCAATCGTGCCCCTCAGTACCAGCTCCCTCTTGCCTGCAGATAAAGAAGTACCTCCAATTAAAAGGGGAGCAGCTGGAACCAAGGCTGGGGGAGGAGAGAGAGAAGGGGAGGCACCGGAGGGAGTCCTCTTTGGATCCCAACAGCTTCCAGTGGGAGAGACCCCTGGGCCAAAGGTTGTGCTTTGGCTTAGGGATATGTGTGGTAACTTAATTACTTTGTGTTTGTGGGACTGTATGGCAAAGTTGGGTGTGGAAGTCTAGCGGTGAGGGCCGGCAGCATGTGCAGATGTCCTGGGCATGTCTTTAAGGGGTAATTTAAAATGTTTTCTTCCATGAATATTTATCGCCTGTGCTAGATCAGGCACCGGGTCATACTGATGACACCCAAAGTGAAACATTGGCAAGACCAGCAGGAGAAAAAGAGGGAGTCTGGGTTATTTCTGCAGCCACATTGTCACCTAAGGAAGTGTGTGACAGCGAGCTTGGACGTGCTGTGAGGTTGCTAGAACAGAGTTGATGTGTCTGTCTCTACTGCAGTCCTATCTGATGTGGCATACGTGTGTGTGTGTGTGTGTGTGTGTGTGTGTGTGTGTATGTGTGTGTGTGTATGTGTACAAATGAGCAGAGTAATGGTGTCAAGTTTGGTATCTGTGGGCTGTGGGGAAGAGGTCTTATTTGCTAGTGTAGTTGTCATGGCAATGGCCACATCTGGGTCTAAGGTGGAAGGGGGCGGGGCAGAGAAAGAAGAGTGCTGAGAAGGTGTAGAGGGATATGTAAAATGGGGGGGAGTTGGGTCTGTATCCTAGAGGTGGTCCTTTACCTTGCCTATCTACCTCAGTAAAGGGACCAGGACTGTCCCCTTCCAGAAGACAGGAACTGTCAGTGATTAGGGGCCTCAAAGACACAGAGAAGGGCACTTTACTTGAGGTGAGTTTGGGTGGGTGGCAATCTCTAGTACCTAGATTGGAAGGAAAAGGAGAGTGAGCAAGACAGGTTATTCCAACCACAATCAATGAATCTTCCTCAGGTATGGGGGGGATTCCAGGTCAGTCCTCCATAAGCCCCCACTTAATCACAACCTCCACTAAATCATAAAATGAGAGACTAACAGCCTTCCAATATTAGGACTGACACTCCCCGCCCCATTAGGGGAGGGACCTTGAATAGGCAGAGGACAAAGAGATGGAGGGATAGATGGACATCTTCCTGTTCACTAGGTTACAACTGAGTCGTCACCTGAAATTTTCTCTTCCCATTAGGCCCATCAAAGCCGGGCAGGTAGATCTCTTTGGAACAGGGTCCTTCCTTGGTGTCATTCATCCTTGGCATCAAACTAAGCCTTCTTCTTGCTTTTTCCTGACAAATTTCTCCCCAAGAGAATCTGTGCAAAAATGCTTTGGACTAGGATATCTTTGATACTAAGCCTCCTCCCAGGATGCCCAAACCCCAAAAAGGATAAAGCCTTAAGTGGTCTGAGAGAATATTCAGGGCAGAACAGCTTTCCTTGACCCTGCCCTCCATAGGATAGCCTCCCCCAAGAGAGTCCAGCTTGTCACCATTGAGCCCAGAAGGGAAGTTCAGCCTGGGATCCAAGATCAACTCCCCCCATCCTAGGCATCCACTCCATTGGCCATGTGAGTTTGCAGGGTAGTGATTACACAGCAGAGAGTATCTGGGGTGCATCCCAGGTTAAGATGTGAGAGAAGGGGAAGAGTCCTTAGGGCACACCATCCGCAAGCTGACACACCTTCCGGTGGGGGACTGGCTGCATCATCTGCTAAGAGCCAATCTCTGTGACACCTGAGGCTGGCAAACTTCCTTTGTGGACCTCAAGCCACTCTCTGACTTCTTCTGCAGAGTAACACCGATTCCTCGGTTCAGTTCGTCTGAGAGCATGGTTTTCTCAGGGTTCAGAGGAGAATGGTCAGATACTTGCAGATCTGGGAAACCTGAGTTCCTTCAGAGAGTCCAGGGAGATTCCAGAGAGGCGGAGTTAAGACTCTGGAGGTGCCCTGAAGCTCTGAGCTATCATATGGGCAGGTCTAATGGTTCCCAGGCCACTCCAGACATATGCGGGGGGGGGGGGTGGACGGGTGTGCTTGAAGGGGAAAATTAGGAAAGCTGGCCAGTACCCCAGTGCAGGAGGCTGGAGGCTGGCACACCCAGGAAGCAGCCTCCAAAATAAGAGCTGAGCTGTAATTTGGATTAGAAACGAACTCTCCAAGTTATGTCTTCAGCAGAAAAGTATTGAAGGGTGAAGAGATAGCTGCTATTGGTAGTTATTTCGTGTGGCAATAAATTCCTCGTGGCGTCTGACTGCACAGGCAACCACAGTTTATACATGAACAGCAAAACACAGATGGGATTCAAACACCGTCCCACAGGCAGACACACAGACCCACTTACACTCTACACAAGTGTGCAGATAGTCCTTCCAGTGTGGACCTGCAGACACGTTAAAAAAAAATTTTGGTTTCTCCTTTCTTGACAGGGTCTCCCTAGCCAGGTTAGCCTCCAACTCACAGTGGTTCTCCTGCCTCAGCATCCCAAGGGCTGGGATTACTCATACACTTTTTCCTTTGGCTCCATAAACGGATACCTGCCGGTTCACTCAGTTGCATTCTTTCGGTTCAGACCAGAACAAAACTAAACCAACCCCTCTCCATACACACACCCCTGTGAGAGTCACTGCATTGGCGCGTGATGATAGATGCACACCGCGGCACTCCTGCAGACCTACAGGTACTCGCAAAGACCTTCCAGCTAAGATTCATTAAACAGACAGACAGACACCCCCATCTTCTCTCTGTAATCTCACTCAAAAAGGTTGACGTTGAACTCATTTACAATTATTACTTTCCCAACTTTCGGAGCAGGCCAAGGTCGCCTGGAAGGGACAGGAGGAGGGCAGAGGCCGGGCGAGTCGCAGGTGCCAGTAGTGGGGTGGGGGAACCCAGGAGGGTAGCGATTGAATGCATATGCATGGGGTCTGAGCACAAAGAGCAGCTGTGGGGAGCCGGAGCCCCGCGGGCCCAGAGTTACAAGGAAGCTCTGGCCGCACAGCTAATTGAATTAGGTCGGCCTAGCCCTGCCACCCGCGCGCCACCCGCGTCCGCTCTGCCACCCGTCCCGGCCGCCGCAGGCGCTCGGAGGGTACCGAGGGACCGATTGAAGGAAGGAGGCACAGCCGCCTGAGCCCCGGCCCGAGGCAGCCTCTCCCCCCGGAAATAATCCCATTGTCCCGCAGGCTGTGTGCAGCTCTGGGAGCCAGGGATCCCCAACTGAACTGACTCTGTGATTAATGGGACTGTGGTGAGGGAGCTGATTGGGGGGGGCATCCCTCCTTCCCACACACTTGTCTGGGGCTCTCTTCTGTACCGGGTTCCGGGTGTCCCTACCTAGTTCGGAGGACCTAGGGCAGCCCGAGGCTGGAGAAGCAGGCCACTGACCAATGGAGTACCCTATTGAGTTTGTGTGAGCATGTGACGAAGTGGGCTCAGTTCTCAGCAGTCTGCCAACTTTGCAAGTTCGGCGTGTTCCTTTGAGAGGTGTCCTAGGAAGCTAGGAGAGGACCCTACCCAGGTATAAGAGGACACAGGTAAGAACCCAAGATTCCAGAACTTGAAGCATCTGCTTGGGAGAAATAAGGCAATGTGAAAAAATGGTCACTGCTTCTTCCTGCAATCCCAGGCTGCTACCCAAGGTTCCAGGAAAGTTAGAAGGAAACCTTGGGCTGGTACTAAGCTAGCAGGGTCACTCAGAGCCTATAAGACACCGATGCCTAAATTGGTAAGCCCCTGACTCCTCCTCAGTCCCTGGATTTTTACTGCAGAGCCAAGATGAGCAGTGACATTCCCTTCTCCCCTTTCATAAATATTGCATCTTCCCAATGCAATTACAGGAGACTGAACGGCATGAGCATTTAGTAAATAAGATTATGGGGTAATGCTAATGCAGTTTATGTCTGCGCCCTGACACCAGACAAACTCCCTATTAATAACCCCTCAATGAGGTGAGGTCTCCAACTGTAGGGCCCAGAGATCTAGGGCTGCCTGCTCACTGGAGTCCATCTTTATTGCCTCTTACTGGGGGCTTGGAGGACCTGTCCTCTCTCCCAGCTCATCTGGGCATCTGCCTCTCTAGGGCACTCCTTCCAGGAGGCAGCCTTTTGAAAGAGAGAAGCTGCCCCTATATCTCCACTTCATCTTGTTATTTTCTGTTTCTATGCCCTTCAGTCAGTCCTAGCTCATGCTCCATCCTCCCTTCCCAGTCCACATCTGTACTTCAAGGCTCACATACTGCCCTGGTGCAGGATGGCCATTAATCCAACCCCACGTTCTTCTTGGCTTTCCTGTAACAGATCTTTCTTGCCTAAGGACCTCTGCAAGGAGGAACCAGGAAAGGATAGGGAGTGTGCAGTCTCAGCAAAAACTACCACCCCACCCCAGAAGCTCCCCTCTCCTTTTTTTCTGCATCCCTCTAAAGTCAGCGAAATCTTCAAATTTTGAAAACCTTTGAGCAGCTTCTTGGGAGCAAAAAGATAATGAGACAAAAGATGAGAGACAATGGGCAAGAAAGCACAGAGATTCCTGGAGCCCAAATTACCGATGTCAAACTCTCTTCCATCTAGAGAAGTCAAAGGACTGGTGGGGCCACCTGGGGCCCAGGACCTGTGGAGTTAGAGGACATGGAATACTCTACCAGGTTCTCCAACCCCTTGCTCTTGAAACAGAGGCCAGATCCTTCCAGTCAGCATATACTTTCCAACTCCAACTTACCGTGCTTGTCCCGGGCTGAAGCAGGTTTTGTTGAATGCTGCACACCAGTCTGAATTGGTGAGTGTTTCTGGCTTGCCATGACATTCCTCTTAGTTATGAAATCTCAGACCTGATTCTCTTTTGTATTTTGCTTTCCACTTCACCTCCCCTGTCCAGTTTCTTTTCCAAGTTGTTCTTTTCTTAATGCTCTGGGCTTAGAATTTCTCTTTTCTTAATGCTCTGGGCTTAGAATTTCTCTCCCTCTCTCTCTCTCTCCCTCTCTCTCTCTCTCTCTCCCTCTCTCTCTCTCTCTCTCTCTCTCTCTCTCTCTTTCTCTCTCTCCCCCTCCCTCCCTCCCTCCCTTTCTCTCTCTGTCTCTCTGTCTCTCTCTGTGTGTCTGTCTCTGTCTCTCTCTCTCTTCCTGACAGGGTTTCTCTGTGTAGCTCTGGCTGTCCTTGAACTCACTCTGTAGACCAGGCTGGCATTGAACTCACAGAGATCCGCCTGCCTCTGCTCCCAAATGCTAGGATTAAAAGCGTGTACCACCACTGCCCAGCTAGAAAACCTTTCTTTCTTTCTTTCTTTCTTTCTTTCTTTCTTTCTTTCTTTCTTTCTTTCTTTCTTTCTCTCTTTCTCTCTTTCTTCCTTTTCTTCCTTCCTTCTTTCTTTTTTGGTTTTTCGAGACAGGGTTTCTCTGTGTAGCTTTGGAGCCTGTCCTGGCACTATCTCTGTAGACCAGGTTGGCCTCGAACTCACAGAGATTCACCTATGTCTGTCTCCTGAGTGCTAGGGTTAAAGGCATGCACCACCACCACCCAGCTAGAAAATCTTTCTAAGCAGCCTTTTGTTCAACTT